GTCAATGTGCGGTTGCTGGGAGCGGTGGCCTGCAACCCAGGCATGTGCCCTGACTGGGAGTCGAACCTGCGATGCTTTGGTTCGCAGCCCAAGCTCAATCCACTGATCTACACCAGCCAGGGGTAATTCCCTTATTTTTCACCTAAGCAACTGGACAAATGGAGTCAATCACCACAAACAGAGGTTGGAAAGACTGTTGGTGGAAAAGTCTTATGGGGGTCAGGGCCTGGAAACCCAGTTTTCCAGAACCATCTAGGCCTCCCTTGGAAAGTGGAAAAGCCTTTAGAGAAGCTCAGAGCCCACTTGGGATGGGTGGTACAGATGATGCTAAGGTACAAACACAGTTCATTTTATTGTGCTTCACTTTACTGCATTTAAGAAATACTGTGTTTTTTACAAAATGAAGGTTTGTAACAACCGTGCATCAAGCAACTCAGCATCATTTTTCCAACAGCATTTGCTCACTTCATGTATCAAAATATTTCCAATGTATTCATTATTATATTTATGATAATCTGTGATCAGCGATCTTTGGTACATATGTTGTAATTGTTTTGGAGGTATCACAAACTGTTTCCACATAAGACAGCAAATTTAATTGATAAATGTTGATGTGTTCTGAGTGCTCCACTAACTGGCCATTACCCCTTCACTCTCCTTCTCAGGCGTCCCCATTCCCTGAGACACAACAATATTGAAATTGGGCCAATCAACCCCACAGTGACCTCTAAGTGTTCAAGTGAATGGGAAAGTAGTACATCTCTGACTTTAAATCAAAACTAGAAATGATTAAGCTTAGTGGGGTAGACAGGTGAAAACTCAAGATAGGCTGAAAGGTAGGCCTATTGCACCAAAGTTAGCAAAGTTGTGAATATTAAGAAAAGTTTTTGAGGGAAATTAAAAGTGCTACTGCAGTGAACAAAAATGATAAGAAAAGAAAAACAGCCTTAATGCTGATAAGGAGAAAGTTTTATAGGTCTGGAGAGAAGATCCGGTCAGCCACAACATTCCGTTAGGTGAAAGTCTAATCTGTAGCAAAGCCCTAACTCTTCAGTTCTATGAAGGAAGGCTGAGAGTCGTGAGGGAACTGCAGAAGAAAAGTTTGAAGCTAACAGAGGTTGGTTTGTGAGGTGTAAAGAAAGAATCCATCTCTGTAACATAAAATGCAAAGTGAAGCAGTAAGGGCTGATTTGGAAGTTGCAACAAATTATCAAAAAGATGTAACTAAGAAAAATGAATGAGGATGGCTACACTAAAGAACATTGTTAATGTTGATGAAACAGTCTTCCTTATATTGGAAGATTCCATCTGGGACTTTCATAGCTAGAGAGTCATGTGCAGCTTCAAAACTTCAAAGGACAGGCTGACTCTCTAGTTAGGGGCTAATGCAACTAGTGGCTTAAAGTTTAAGCCAGTGGTCATTTATTCTGAAAATCTTAGGGCCCTTAATAATTATGCTAATCCTACCATTTATGATCCATAAATGGAAAAACAAAGCCTGGGTGACAGCATGTCTGTTTACAATATGATTTACTGAACATTTTAAGCCCACTGTTGAGAATTGCTGCTCAGAAAAAAAGGAGTCCTATTAAAATATTAATGCTGATTGATAGTATACCTCATCACTCAAGAATTCTGACAGCGATGTACATAAAAATTACCTTAATCCCTGCAAACACAACATTTATTCTGCACCCAATGGATCAGAGTAATTTTGACTTCCATGTATTATTATTTATGAACTACATTTCATAAGGCTATAGCTACCACAGATAGTGATATTGGAAAAGGAAATGAAAAGGATTCTAGATGCCATTAAGAACTTATGTGCCCTCGCTGGTGTGGTTCAATGGATTGAGTACTGGCCTGTGAACCACAGGGTCTGCAGTTCAATTTCCAATCAGGGCACATGCCTGGGTTGCAGGCCAGGTCCCTTATTGGGGGTGTGTGAGAGGCAACCACACATTAATGTTTCTCTCCCTCTCTTTTGCCCTCCCTTCCCCTCTCTCTAAAATAAATAAATAAATAAATATCTTTAAACACACTGTAAATGTTTTAAGAAAATATTTGTGATTTGTGGGAAGAGGTCTAAATATCAAAAATATCAGTGTTAATAGGAGTTTGGGAAAAGTTTATTTCAACCCTCGTAAATGACTCGGAGAGGGTGCAAGACTTCAGTAGATGAATTAACTGCAAGTGTGGTGGAAATAGCAAGAGAACTAGAATTATACATGGAACCTGAAGATGTGACTGAGTTGCTGCAATTTCATAAAACTTGAAGAAATGAGGAGTTGCTTCTTATGAATGAGCAAAGAAAGTGGTTTCTTGAAATGGCATCTACTGGTGAATATGTTGTGAAGATTATTGAAATGACATAAAAAAATTTAGAATATTAAGTGAACTTAGTTGACAAAGCAGCAGCAGGGTTTGAGAGGATTGACTCCACTTTTAAATGAATTCTGTGTATAAAATGTTATCAAACAGCATCACATGCTACAGAGAAGTCATTTGTGAATAGAAGAGTTGATTGATGCAACAAAAATCACTGTTGTCTCATTTTAAGAAATTGCCACTGCCACCTGAACCTGCAACCACCGTCCTGATCTGTCAGCAGTCATCAACATCGAGGCAAGACTCCAACAGCAAAAGATTATGACTCACTGGCGGCTCTTGTATCTGTATTCAATCTGCTTGCAAGTGATGAATGTGTATGTTCCTGACATGAATGTTGTTTGTTCTCATTCATGTTAATGTTTAAGGCAAAAACAAAACAGTGCAGATACACATTCATCACTGACAGAAATAACTTCTTTTCTAAGTCAAATAATAGTGTTGGAATATGGGGAAAGCATTTCCTCAAGTTTTTATGCTATTCACAATGGAACCACTACAAACACAACTCAAAATTTTAAGTGCATTTATTCTGCATTGTTAATACTGCATTGAACTCAAGTTTGATGTTTAAAATATATGATCTCTGAGTAATGGTTATATTTAGATCCAGGTGGGTTTCATGGCATCATGAATTTACCCTAAGCTAAAACTAAGTGACAATCAAGAGGTTTTCTCGGTCTACCTGGTTATTGTTGAAATTGGATTCCAAACTTCTCTCTTAACTGCCCAAATCCTACATGCTTCACTAAAAAACAACAACCTTGACCCCATTATTTGGAAAGATCAAGATGACAACCTTTAATCTTTAAGAAAACTTAATAAATCCCCTGCCCTTGGATATTTTCATTGTCAACTCCCCTTTTACCTTTTTATGAGAAGGAAAGGAATGCCTTTGGAGTGCTCACCCCAAAACAGGCAGACCATCATCAACCCACAGGGTATTACAGCCAACAGCTAGAGATCCTGTGGCATTCTTCCCCATCTCCCCATCTCAGAGCCATTCTTGCTAATGCCATTTTGGTTAAGGCCACCAAAGAAGTCATGTGACTCCCTCTAACCATCTGTATCCCGTGCAGTAGAAGCCCTCATGAATTCCCGTCACACCCAGCACCTTTTGGCCAGTCTCACCTATGAAATTCTTTTAATAACTGCTCCTCGTATACCTCATTCCTACTGTAGCAACCTTCCTTCCTCAATTAACAAAACCCCTGACAACTACTTAAAGCTGACAGATCACCTTTTGGCTTCCCATGATATCTTACAGGAAACTAACCAATGCAGATAGATTTTTCATGGTTTACTGATAGCTCTTATTTAAAGGATGGGAATAGTAAATATGCTGGGCATGCTATTAAAACTTCTTTTGAAGTTATTTAGGAAGCATTTTTTACCTCTGCCCAATAAGCTGAATAATAGTCTTATTTGGACTTGTGGTCTAGCTAAAGATAAAACTGCAAATATTTATACTGACAGTTGCTATGCATTTGGAGTAGCCCTTGACTTTGGAATGGTATGGAAACAGCAGTGTTTCTTATCTCTAATGAGGCTAACATTAAAAATAGTTATGTCCAAAATTTATTAGATGCCATATTTTTAGTGGCCCCTTTGGCTATTATTAAGAACCCTGGGCATTCCTAACCACTCTCTGAAGGCTGAAGGAAACCACCTTGCTGATATATTTCTGCCAAGAACTCTGTTGTCAAAGGAACCAATAGCCAAACATTTGTCATGGTCAAAAAGGATGTTTCCCCAAAGGATAGTTTACAAAAATTGACTAGAGATACCCAACAATTGATCCCAGGGAAGGTAAAACAATATTGGAAATCTAATAACTGCTATTTAGATAAAAAGAGAGAACTCTGGTTTGGGCCAAATAAAAACCCAGTCCTAGCAGAAGTCCTAAAATGTTCATTACTACCATACTTGCATTAAACTATTGGTCTATGGATAAAATGATAATGTTCATGAACTTATATTGGTGGGTAAATATCAATGAGACTACAAGAAGTACCAACTTTGCTTGCCCCGCCTGCCCAAAATATAATCCTTGGAAATCTGTCTATTGCTCTAGGACAATTTAAATTGCCCAAAGAATCACTAGGGGTTTGGCAAATGGATTTTATTCAGCTTCCTTTGTCTCATGGATATACATGTGTTTCAGTCATGGTTTGTATGTGTTCTCAGTGGACTGAAGTTCTCCCTTGTAGATAGAGTACTGCCTCTTCTTTGGCTTAATATTATGTTAGAAAATATCCCAACATGGGGAACCCCACCTTGAACTTCATAGTGACCAGGGAACCCACTTCCGTGGTCAAGCACGTCAATAGGTCTATGCCACTTGTCTAGTTCTACAGCACATTCATCATGCCTCCTATCCTCAATCCTTGGACATAGTTCAATAGACTAACACTACCATTAGGACCCAATTGGTGGCCCTGGCTGGGCAGGCAGCTCAGTTGGTTAGAATGTTGTCCTGATACGCCGAGGTTGTGGGTTCAATCTCTGGTCAGGGCACATACAAGAATCAACAAATGCATAATTAAGTGGAATAATAAATCAATCTCTTTCTCTATCTCTCCCCACCCCTCTTCCTTTCTCTCTTTCAGTTTTTGAAAAAGAGCCAATCGGTAAACGTTGCAGAGATCCTCCAGATTCCTTGGCCAAAAGCATCGTCATTGGTCCTTCTAAATCTCAGAACAACCACCACCTTTGAAACTTGTGAACTCTCAGCCTTTGAGATAGTCACAGAATGCCCAATATTCCTAGCTCCTGCCTCTTGATCCACAGTTGATAAAAAGATATACCTCAGTATTGTAAAAGCTTCTGTTGGAAATAATCATACTTTAGTAGAACAATCTTTTTGCACATGAAAACCTCAAACACCATCATTTGCAACCTGGGCACTCTGTTTTTATTGGAGAAAATACCTCCAAAAACACTCTTCAACCTCACTGAAAAGGCCCCTGTCAGATCTTGTTAACCAACCCTTGTGCTGCTAACTTCCATGGAACAGACATTCACATGTCACATCCAAAGAAAACACCAGCCTTGGCTAGTGTAGCCAGGTTAGAGCATTGTCCTATAACCAAAAGACTGTGGGTTTGATTCCTGGTCAGGGCACATACCTAGATTGTTTGACTGCCCCCACATCCCTGTCCGGGTATGTGTGGGACTCAGTAGATTGATGCTCCTCTCTCTCCCTTCCTTTCTCTTTTCCTTTCTCTCTAAAAGCAATGAAAAAAAATGTCCTAGGGTGAGGATTTTAAAAAATGAGAGAAAGAAATCACCAAACCCTGAGTGGACATGCAGACCTGAAAATAAAGATCTCCAGGAATTGAAGCAGATGAGAGTTGAAGAAGACAGCTTTCCCAAGATGACCAGACCAGGCCTGTATACATTTTTTTGCCCCCTCACCCAAGGACATTTTTCATTGTCTTTAGAGAGAGAAGAAGGGAGAGAGAGAAACATTGATGCAAGGGAGAAGCATCAATATGTTGCCTCCCACACATACCAGGAATGGGGATTGAACCTGCAAGCTTTTGATTATGGGACAGCGCTCCAACCAACTGAGCCACATCAGCCAGGATTCCAAGTGTATTGCAAAGGGGGAAACATTTTCTTTCTTTTTAAGAGAGGGTAAGAGAGGGAGAAAGGGAGAGAAATACCCTTGTGCAAAAGAAACATTGATTGGTTACCTCTTGCACGTCCCCTACCCGGGACCTGGTCCATAACCCAGGCATGTTCCCTGACCAGGAATCGAGGAATCGGAGTGGTGACCTTTAAGTTCTCAGGCCAGTGCTCAACGCACAGCCACACCAGTCCGGATAGGGGGAAACATTTCTGACTCTTGGGCTTGTCACCAGAAACTGATTTGTTCACATTGTCACAGGTCCCTTATATATGATAAAGAAGAAACTTAATAAGAAAGGTAACATTCAATAAATGACATTTAAAATTCTTTTTTCTTTATTAAATTTATTGAGGTGACATTGGCCAAAAAGATTATATAGGTTTCAGGTGTACATTTCTATGACACATGATCTGCATATTGCATTGTGTGCCCACCACCCAAAGTCAAATCATCTTCTGTTACCATATATTTGCCCCCCTTCATCCTTTACCATGTCCCCCAAACCCTTCCCTCTGCTAACCACCATATTGTTGTCTCTGTCTGAGTTACTGTTTGTTTTTCTTGTCTGCTCATTTGTTGCTTTCAGTTTTATATCCCATATATGAATGAAATCATTTTATTAAAACAATTAAATTTATTGGGGTGACATTGGTTAACAATATATGATTCATATGTACAATTCTAGACTGTCACCTGTATATTGCAGTGTGTGCTCACCACCCAAAGCCTCATTTCCTTCCACCACCACACATTTGACCCCCTTTACCCTTTTTGTCCTCTTCCTACCACCCTTCCCCTCCAGCAAGTACCATACTGTTGTCTGCATCTAAGAGTATGTTTATTCACTTGTTGCTTTCTGTTTCATACTCCAAATATAAGTGAAATCATATGGTTTTTGCCCTTTCCATCTTATTATGCTTAGCATGATATTCTCAAGATCCATCCATGTCATCACAAATGGCAGCGTATCATTCTTTCATAGGGCTGAGTAGTATTCCATTGTGTAAAAGTACCACATCTTTATCCAATCATCCATCGAAGGACACTTAGGTTGTTTCCATGACTATTGTGAAAAATGCTGCAGTGCACATGAGGGTACATAAATCTTTGCGAATAAATTGTTCAGGTAGATACCCAGAGGAGGGATTGCTGGGCCCTACAGAAGTTCTATCTATTAAGTTTCTGAGGAACCTCTCTATTTTCCATAGTGGCTGTACCAGTTTACATTCCCACCAGCAGTGAATGAGGGTTCTCCACATCCTCTGCAACACGTAACATTTCTTGACTTACTGACAGTGGCCATTCTAAAGGTGTGAGGTGGTGTCTCATCGTGGGTTCTATTTGCATTTCTCTTATCACTGGTGAAGTTGAACATCTTTTCATATATCTGTTGGACATTTGATGTCTTTTGGGGAAAAGTGTCAGTTCAGGTCCTCTGCCCCTTTTTTCTATTGGATTGGTTGTTTTTTTGTTGAGTTTTATGAGTTCTTTATATATTTTAGATATTAGCCCCTTCTTGGAGGTATTGTTAGCAAATATCTTCTCCCATTCAGGTTGGTTGCCTTTTTGCTTGATGGTTTCTTTGGTGTACAGAAGATTTTTAGTTAGATATAGTCCCATTCATTTTATTTTTGCTTTATTCTTCCCTGGCCTTTAGGGTCAAGTTCACAAAAGCCTCTCTGAGACCAAATTCCACAAGTTTGGTAGCTATGTGTTCCTCTCTGTATTTTATGGTTTAAGGTCTCACATATAAACCTTTAGTGCATTTCAAGTTTATTTGTGTGTATGCTATTAAACAGCAGCCTACTTTTGTTCTTTTGTGGGTAACTTTTCCAATATTCCTAACTGCAATAAACAATACTTTAGACAATAAGCCTTGCATGTACGCACACACAAAGGTGGATTCCTATCTCATTCCTTGCATCAAAATAAATCCCAGGTGACCCTAGCTGGTGTGGCTCAGTGGATTGAGCACCAGCCTGTGAAGCAACCGGTCACTGGTTCAATCCCAGTCAGGGTACATGCCTGGGTTGTGGGCCAGGTCCCCAGTAGGGGGGCACTCAAGACGCAACCACACATTGATATTTCTCTCCTCTTTTTCCCTCCCGCTCCCTCTCTCTGAGAATAAATAAAGTAAATCCCAGGTGGATAAAAGAGTAAACCCTGGAAAATGAAACACTGAAACTACCATAGTAATGCACAGGTGGATATCTTATCTTCAGAGTGTTGAAAATAGTATGAGCTCAGAAACCCCAGGGGAGGAAAACAATGAAGTGGCTACCTAAAATTTAAGATGTATGTGTAGCAAGGGACAAGTGGGAGATAACACATCTCAATTTGAAGGCACTAATTTGTTAACAGGGACTTATTTTAAAGCAAAGCAAACTACCCGCTGTACAAATAGGCTATGAATCTATGAAAGTGAACATGCAGGTCGTAAGAAAAAAATACAAAGGCAAATAAACAAAAACAACAGCAAAAACGATGCTCAGCCTTGCTAAGACTTTTTTTTTAAAGGCACATGAAAACAAAGACGTATTTGCGCATCACATGGGCAAAATCTGGAACCATTTGCAGCAGTTTGAGCGGGGCTACAATGACTGGTATACGCGGTTGAGGATGGTGTATATTGGAGCAGCGTCTCTGGAGGGCACGCTGGCAGCCTTGTTGCCGCTTGAAATACGCACACCAAGCTCAACAGTGGGGAGGCAGAGAAGGTCCACAGGCCAGGGGAGACAGTGCTGAAGGAAAGAAAAAGACAGGCAGGCGTCCTGGGCTGCTATTTCTGTGTCTCCGTCCAAGGGCTTCCTGTTGGCCTCGCCCAGTGCACTGCAGAGAGAACAAGAGTATGGAGCAGCCTGAGCGGCAGGGAACCTGAGCATGCTTTGAACATGCTTCAGAATGTCTCCCGACCCTGTGCTCAGAGTCTGTCCTGTTTGGAAGTCCTTTCCTGGAGACAGATGCTCAGGGACGGGACACGCAGCCCTTCAACCTCAAGGGCGCGCCAGCAAGCACCCTTCAGGCTCTCTGTGCTCATCTGATGACTGAATGTGGCGCCTGATTGCAGACTCCCCCGGTCGCCACTAGGCGGAGACAGAGGAATGCTCAATAGATGCTCCTTCCAGATTTGAGAGCTGAGGGTCTAGAGAGGAACTATGGAAAGAGGAAGCAGACAAAAGATATATCATATGTTTTCTGGTCGCCCTTGAGTAGGTAGTTCCCTTAGTCTTGGGCTGCTTTTCCATGCCATGACCCACCCTTCGCATTTCTCCTTGAGGCGGCCTGGGATGTGACCTGGCATGAGGGTGCGGTGGTAATGAGGCAGTTTGCACCACTAGATGACACCATAGGGGAAGGTGAAGCGAGGACTCAGACAGGCCTAGGACTCCGTTGCCTGCCGCGTCCTGACATCAGTGTCTCTCTTGCACATGAGGTAATGCTTTGCGAAAGCTGGCCCACATCCACATTCCAACACCTCCTCCTACCATTCTCACTGGCCATCTCTTCTGGCCTCTAAGTGCAGGATGGAGACACACAGAGAATCCTGAGGTTGTTTTGTAGTGGGTGAGGGGGGCGGTTGAAGTTATCCCCAACCTGAACTGTCACCTGTAAACTTAGGAGCAGTTGCTAGTCCTGTTTGCCACTGTTGAGGAACTGAACAGCCCATCAGAGGGGCCACCCCACAGCTGGGGCCATGCAGTGTTTTCCTTGTCACAACGTGTGACGTGTAACTCCACAAACAAGTGCATGAGACCAGTTGGCATTTCAGGGGTGTCCCCACACTGACACAGTTGTCCATGTGCATCTAGCATAGAGGCCACCTGTCCCCACGTGGAATTAGATGGTCAATGCAGGAATTCCTCCATATACACCTCTTTCCCAAGACCCATTTCTTCAGTCTCATGGGTGGCTCTCCAATCCTTGGGACCATGCAGCCCCAGGGACTGACCCCAGGGCCAAAACTCTACCTGGGTGTTCAGAGGGCAGGGAAAGACTGAGGAAAGAGGCTGGCCAACCCATTATGGTAACTGAGTTTCCTAAGGGAAACGTACACACAGGTGCCTTTTGGGCGGCTGGAAGACAAAATGAATGCCCATGCCTTGACAGGTGGGAAGAAATTATGTAGGGTGAAGGGGGTAGGGGATAGTCACAGATACCAGTAGGTGAATGCTGCCCAATATGGAAATTACATGCTTGACCAGGTTAGGACAATGGGCTGTTCCTGGAACCAGCACAATGTGGGAGGTAGAGAAGGGGAACAGGGTTATATCCTGGTGCTGCAAAGGGGGTTTGCAGGAACTAATCTCGTTACGGAACAGCGTCTCCTCCAAGGTGAGGGAGGTGAGGCTGGAGCCCAAGATGATGGCAGCATTGAGGTTCTCTCTGCATTTGAGCATGGCAGCCAGTGGGCAGGTTAGGCACATTTCCCCTTAGGAGGCCACCTATTGGCTGTGTCCAGCCCTTTCCCTGGCATTGTCCAATGCAGTCAGTATCAGGTGGGAATAAAGACTCTGATGGACTTCTGCTTAGAAGGCTGGACTTCCATGGGTGTTGGTGGGGCCAGATGTGTCTCCTTCCTCCAGCTTCCACATAGCCCAACTTCACCTACTGGCCTGGCCCTTCTCAGTCAGTGGGTACGATTCCCCAGGGTTCTCTGCTTGCCTCTGTGGAAAGCTACAAGCTGACTCTGCCTTTAAAATAGCCTTGTGCCCTCCACATGACAACTACTGAAAATGAGGCTCACAAAACAAGGACAGGCCATGCAGGGGGTTCAGTGATGCCCACCCCCCACCAATGCATGTCCACCTGCAACCTACAGCAGTCCTAGGAGAGGAATTCAGTTTGCAAATTGACGATGCTCTGCAAACTGCTCAGGGCCTGTGATAAGCATAGAACCCAAGGGTGTTCCACATGCAGACAGACTTTATGTCTGGTGAAACTAATAATGTTTGGTGTGTCTTCTTCCAGTTAATTTTACTGTGTTTTCCAAAAATGTTCACCCATTATGGACTGGAAATATTTTTAGAAAGAAAGAAATGAAAGGTCCTTCACCAAAAGGAGTTGGAAAGTGCTCCTCTCAACAACAGCTGGTGGCAGCTCCTCAGAGTTTCTGGAAAGAAACGGCAGCTGTTCGCTGTGGAACCCCCACCCCCCGTAATGTATATTTCACTTAGCGTTGCAGCAGTGTGTGGAGACGGTACTTACATCCAGGTCCTCACATCTCCACTTTGCCCACAACTTCTACTTGTGTCTGTATTCCGTTGTGTCGAAGTTCGAATATTGTTATTAATTATTCTGATACAGAATAGTACAATTTCTGGATTCTGGGAAACTGGCATCAGTGCCAGAAATGTCATTTCTGAATCTTCCCAGCCCTCCCTCGACTGCCCCATCCCCAACAAATGAGAGAGACAATGGAAAAGCAGAGCCAAAACCCCAGGGAAACATGCACAACAAAAGTAGGTGACAAATTACCCCCATAAACTCTGAGATATGGGCTGGCTGAGACCAAGCCACCTCTGGCCCCAAGATCTGTAGAATCTTTTCTGTTTTTGTTTCTTTTTTAATTTTTTCCCAATTTTGTTATCCCCTTTATCCCCCTCTTCCCTGTACTGTACCACCCTCCAACATTCCCCACCACCACTTAGTTCATGTCCATGGGTCATACATATAAGTTCTCTGGCTTCTCCATTTCCTATACTACATCTCTCCCTGTCTATTTTGTGCCTACCTATTATGCTCCTTATTCCCTATACCTTTCCCCTTATTCTCCCCCTCCTCCTCCCCACTGATAACCCTCCATGTGATCTCTATTTCTGTGATTCTGTTCCTGTTCTAGTTGTTTGCCTAGTTTTGTTTTTGTTTTTTAGGTTCAGTTGTTGATAGTTGTGAGTTTGTTGTCATTTTACTGTTCATAGTTTTGATCATCTTCTATTGCTTAGATAAGTCTCTTTAACATTTCATAAAATAAGAGCTTGGTGATGATAAACGCCTTTAATTTGACCTTAACTGGGAATCACTTTATCTGCCCTTCCATTCTAAAGGATAGCTTTGCCGGATAGAGTCATCCTGGATGTAGATCCTTGCCTTTTATGACTTCAGGTACTTCTTTCCAGTCTCTTCTTGCCTGCAAAGTTTCTTTTGAGAAATCAGCTGATAGCCTTATGGTAACTCCTTTGTAGGTAACTGCCTCCTTTTCCCTTGCTGCTTTTAAGATTCTCTCCTTGTGTTTAACCCTGGGTAACTTTATTAGGATGTGTCTTGGTGCATTTCTGCTTAGGTCCAATTTCTTTGGGACTCTCTGGGCTTCCTGGAGTTCCTGGACTTCCTGGAAGTCCATTTTCTTCACCAGATTGGGGAAGTTCTCCTTCATTATTTTTTTCAAATAAGTTTTTTTCAATTTCTTGCCCTTCCTCGTCTCTTTCTGGCACCCCTATGATTCAGATGTTGGAGCATGGAAAGTTGTCCCAGAGTTTTCTCAGCCTCTCCTCATTTTTTCTGAATTCTTGTTGCTTCATTCTATTCCGGTTGGATGTTTATTTCTTCATTTTGTTTCAAATCCTTGGTTTCAGTCCTGGTTTCCTTCCCATCACTTTTGGTTCTCTATATATTTTCCTTTATCTAACTTTGTGTAGCCTTCATTTCTTCCTTCATTTTGTAACCAGGCTCAATCATCTCTGTGAGCATCCTGCTTACCAGGGTTTTGAACTCTGAATCAGATAGGTTGGCTAGCTCCTTGTCACTTAGTTCTTTTTCTGGAGTTTTGATTTGTTCTTTCATTTGGTCCATATTTCTTTGTCTTGACACACCTGTAAGGGGTGGAGCCTTAAGTATTCACCAGGGCAGGACAACCCTCTTGGCTGCTCTGTGGCGCTGTCTGTGGAGGAGTGGTCAGAGAGGAAACAATGCCACTTGCTGGCTGTGCTCCAGCCTCACCTTCCATCACTTCCCTCACTTCCCACATGTGGATTGTGGTCTTTCAGGTGCTAATTCACAGATGGGTGGGTTTGTGTGCATTCCAGGACCCTGTGGGCCTCTCCCACAGACTCTCTTGTGATCCTGAGAGCCTTTCGCACTGCCACACCTCCTGCAGATCTTTACATCCAGAGGTTTTGGGTCTTTAGTTTTGCACGCTGAAACCCTGGGTTCTGTGCTCTGTCTCGCTTCCCATTTGCCCGCCCCCCGAGCTTATCGGCCCATGAATGTGGGACCAACTGGTCCACCGGCTACCTCCTTGTCTGGGTGTCCTCTCTGCCTCGACTACCCATCTGGATGAATGTTTCTTTCATCCTCCACCCCTCCTACCAGTCTGGATGAATGTTTCTTTAACTCAAGGATTGTTGGACGTCCATGAAGTTCAAATATGTGGCAGTTCTGGTGGTTTTTCATTTCTAAATTTG